ATATATGGCATAGGAGCTCTGGTAGCATAGTGCCTAAGGCACTTGACTGCTAACCAGAAGGCTGGTGGTTCAAACCTACCAGCCACTCCTCGGAAGAAAGGTTGGGCAATCTACTTCCGTAGCAATACTGACTTGGAAACCCAAGGAGGGGTCACTATGAGTCAGGTTTGACCCGATGGCACATAACAACAACAACAATAATATATGGCATAAGTAGACTATAAAGCATAACCCAAAATGTACAAACAGCAGAAGAGAAACTAGATGAATGGAACCTTCTCAAAATTAAATTTTTATGTGCTTCCAAAGACTTCTCCAAAAGAGTCAAAAGAGAACCTACAGATTGGGAAAAAATATTTGGCAATGACATATCTGACAAGGGACTCATCTCTAGAATTTATAGAAAACTTCAACACCTCACCAACAAATAGACAAATAATCCAATTAAAAAATGGGCAGAAGACATGAATAGCCACTTCACCAAAGTGGATATTCAGGTGGCCAACAAACATGAAGAAATGCTCAAGATCATTAGCCATTAGAGAGATGCAAATCAAAACAACAATGAGATACCATCTTGCCCCAGTACTAGTAGCAAAGTTCAACAAGACAGAAGATTACAAATGCTGGCAAGGATGCGGAGAGGTTGGGACTCTCATACACCGCTTGTGGTACAGTAAAATGATACAACCACTGTGGAAAGCAGTATGGCAATTCCTTAAAAAGTTGGAATTAGAAATACCATTTGATCCAGCCATTCCATTACTAGGTATATATCCTAAAGAAGTGAGAGCCAGGACAAGAACAGATATATGCACACCCATGTTCATCAGAGCACTATTTAAATAGCCAAAAGATGGAAACAACCTAAGTGTCCTTCAACTGAAGAATGGATAACCAAACTATGGAAAAGATACACAATGGAATATTATGCAACTCTAAATAATAACGTAGAATCTGCAAAACACTGCATAATGTAGATGAACTTGGAGGACATTATGCTGAGTGAAATAAGTCAATCACAGAAGGACAAATATTGTATTAGTCCATTATTGTAAAAGTCAAGGAAAGGTTTATATATGGAAGGAAATTTTCTTTGTTGGTTACAGGCATGGGGGGGCGGATAGAAACACTGTTAGGTAGAGACAAGTACTGATTTGGGTGAAGAGAAGGGCAATGTACCAAATATGAGTCATCAACATGGCATTGAGGAAGAGGAAGACATACAGAGGTACATGGGAGGTACAGACAACAAAGATGAACCCTTTTGCACATACAGTACTGCGTTGTCAGTGAAGGCAAACCTGGATATACGGGTGGATAGATAGGTGGACAGGCTGAACTATTAGGTATGTCTATGCAGTGGGGAGTGTGCCCAAGACCATGTATAGTGTTGGCAGACAATGTTTCTACAAGTATATTGTTATGTTCTGTAATAATCCACAATTATATAGTAGAGCTGACAAGGGACAAGACTGTAGTCACTTCTTGGCCACACCAGCTACCCAGAGGGAGCGAGTAGTTGGACCTATGGGCTTGGGTCCATAGTCGCAGGGGACATCAAGCTTAACTGGCATAACATACTACACAAAACATTGTTCTACATCCTATTTTGGTAAGCAGCAACTGAGATCTTAAAAGCTTGCAAGCAGCCATCTAGATGCAACAATAAGTCTCTCCTTGTCCAGAGCAAAGAAGAATGGAGAATGAAGAAAGCCAAAGATTCATGGAAACAATTAGTCCAAGTGACTGGTACACCATGCAATCCTCAGCCTATATGACTATGAGACCAGAAAAACTAGATGGTACCTGGCTTTCAATGTCAACCACTCAGTGGGGCATCTACATAGGAGATACTGGATAGAGTGGAAGAACAATGTGGAACAAAATTCAAAACCATTTAAAAAAAAAAAGGAACTAAGTGTGCTGGTCTGATAGAGCCTGATGGAACTACTTAGACTATGGCCCCTAGCTGCCCTTCAGGTCTAGAATCAAACCCACTCCTGTGGCTTCCAGCCAAACAAAAGACAGGTGAACATTTACATTAGGTAGATATACTCCTTGGAGAGAATAATCATGGGAGAATAGAAAGGCTGTGTATGCACAGGGAGACAGCTCTGGGGGCAGGAGTGCATGGGAGGGGAGGACACAGGGAAGAGGTAACGATGTGGAGGAAGTGGGAGGGTAGCTGTTGCATTGTGGGAAATTTTAATCAATGTCATGGAGACAAAGTGCATGTGAGCTGCTGCATGGAAAGTGAATTTGCTCTGTAAACTTTCACCCAAATCACAATTAAAAAAAAAACAAAAAAAAGCCAGAGTTAAAAATTTTTAAAAAGTATCAGGTGCTATCAATCAACATAAAATAAGCAGACACATATAATATGTAACTTACCTGGAGCAATAAACTGTTTAACATTGGTGAGTCTAGACTTATCAGCTACACTAGCCATAAAGCAGCCCTTTGGCACAGTCCAGTCATTAGTCTTGCTTTTTTTGTCCTTGTCTTCTGCTGTTTCATACAGGTCTATGTGAGGGGGTTTCTCAGTTAGATTCTTGCTGTAATGACTTAACCCATACTGTGCAATCTGGATTGGATAAAAATAGCCTTGAGGTCCCCATTGTGTAGATAATGGCACACCTATAAAATAGAGAAACAAAATGAATAATCATGCAAAGACATTACAAGCCTATTTTGAGCATCACTCCCCACTGTTATACTTCTGGGGAATGTTTCCTTTCTACATTGTTTTCATAATTACTAAAAACCAGTACAGCAAATTAACCAGATACAGAAAACAAAATTAAGTATTCATTCACTCATTCACTATTTGCTGATAGACAACAATGCTGTCACAAAAACCAAACTCACTGCCATCAAGTTGATTCTGACTTATAGTGACCCCCCCTTTGGGTTTCCAAGGGGGTAAGTCTTCACAGAAGTAGACTGCCCAGTCTTCTTTCCATGAAGTGGCTAGTGGGCTTGAACTGCCAACCTTCTGGTTAGCAGTCAAATGCCTTAGGCTCTATGCCATCAGAGCTCCTTATAAAATATTTTTAAGGACTGACTTTTTAAGTATGTGTTATTCTGATCATTACTACAGATAACATGTTTTGTTATCCTATTTCATATACTCAAATTTCCCAATTTAGATAAACATAATGTTACCACAGAGCTTCATTCTAGAAAATAAAATTCAACACATACACAACTGCTTTCCCCTTTTTAAATGATATACTTAAAATCAAATTCAAGTTGGCTCTCTGATCAACCCCAGATTTGAAATGCTAATTCCAAAATGTACTAATAATGCCTACAAGGAACCAACACCATTCCAGATTGTAAAGACTATGAATAAATGGCATATACTGCACGACAGTATGTAATGGACTACAGAAGTTCAGCAGTTAGTTCAGAGAGGATGCTATCTATGTATTGCCTTGTCCTGTAGCACGTCAAACCTCCCTCCAGGGATGACACATGCAAATCTTGTAATAAGATCTCATTGGTATATTGAAGAGTTCATTGGATGGTCTCTCTCTCTTTCCCCTCTCCTGTCAGAGGATAATAACTGTATATTTTTAACATGAAATATCTGGAATACTGTGCCTTCACCTTACTGGTGAGAATTTTAGAATCTGAAGCAGGTTAATGGAATAATCCTATTAGATAAAGTATGATCTTTTTGCAGCCCTTAAATTATCATCTAGAAAGAAGTCCTAGGCTATGACTGACTACTTTACCTGTTCCTCCCTGCTAAGTTAGAGTGATGAAAGGTCTGTTGTCAGTAAGCTATATATTTGCTGTATAATTAAAACTAACATTTTCTTATTTTTCAACATAATCAGGGTAGAAAAACACAAGTGGAACATGCAGATACCAACCTTCAACCCCACTTATGCACTTGACTCTGTCTCGAACTTCCACATTGTAGCCTTCAAAGGACATAAACACGCCATCAGGGTGATAAGGGGCTCTCTGTGCGTAGACTTTGGAATAGCTATGAGAGAATTCAAACCGGTCATAGCCATCATACTGAACCACCTTTCCATAAACGTCAAAATATTTCTCTACCCAAGTGAATGGAAGAAAGACTTCATTTCCCTCACGTCTTCCTTTAATTGTATGTTCATCATTTATAAGACAGTCAATTTCCTCATATTTGAGTCCTAACACCTTGCTTCCCCCATTGCCATTGAAGCCCCCCACAACAGGTGGTGCTTTCTGTTGTTCCTGAGGAAATGCTTCCTCAGACTGTTTGGCCATGTGGTTCACATAGTTGTTACTCTCAGATGCTGCTGCTCTTTTCTCTAATCCATCTCTGAAGCCACTACTCAAGTGTCGTGGAAACTGGATTGCTTTGTCGCTGGAACACTTATTCCACAAAAGTACAGTGACCAAAGTGAAGAGTGCACAGATGATAATCAAAGTCTTATAGTTGACCCGAGCTGCCAAGCAACGCATATTCAGACCATACCTATGGAGGCAAGAAGAAGAACTCATGCAAAGATATACTGCTGAAATTTCATAGTATAAAGTTTTATTTTTTATGTTGAACAACCATGCTAAGACAATTTTATTAACTGTATATAATTTAGTCAGACTTAAAATTACTAATCCAAATTTTTCAATACAAACAAAGAAAAGGTAAGAGGTATTCCTCATCCTTCGGTAAAAAGCTTAGTTAGCATAATCTTCTAAAACTTTCTTGGTATTTCAGTAATATTTTCACAAAAAATCAAACTCACGGCTGTCGAGTTGGATCCAACTTATAGCAACCCCTCCTTGGGTTTCTGAGGTGCTATCACTATGGAAGGAGATTGCTCAATCTTCCTTCTGAGGAGTGGTTGGTGGGTTTGAACCACCAGCCTTAGGCACTAGCCCAAAGAATACCTAATAGTTCCATCTATTAAGTAGTTAGGTCCAAACAACTTAAAAATAACAATGGTGTTTTTTTTTTTTTTTTTTAAATCATACATAAACTGAAAAATTTTTTAAAAATTATATTCTTATTTATTAATGGGATATACTGGGCCCTGCAAACTTCTCAAACCTTAGAATCAGATTGGTCATCATCACATTCTCCTGTTCCATAGTGGTACTTGCTTTTTCTCATACCAACTGCAGAAAACCAGATTTGCAAAGGGATGATATCATCCATCTAATACTGAAACTGTTTTAACTATCCAAAGCTAGTTCAAGCAATGTTCAAAAGATGTCAACTATCATTATGCTCCCTTCTAAAATTCAAAATATGCTGTTAGCACCCTTCTGAGTGCTTTTCAGAGCTTGGGGCAATGCAGCACAGTTTGGGAATCTTTGCTTTAACCTATGATCTTAGACAAGTCATTCAATTAAACACTACAGCTCAGTGGTTCTCAAATTTAGCATCAGAATTACATTGAAGGCTTATTACATCAGATTGGCAGATCCCACCAATGGAATTTTTCATTCAGCAGATCTGGAGTAGTGACCCTAGAATTTTCATTTTTAATGATTTCCCAAGTGATGCTGAAGCTGCTAGTCAGGGATCACATATTGAGATCCCTGGCCTAGACCTCTGGTTCCTTACCTATTGATTAAGATCACAGATTTTCAAACTGTGTTCTAACAGAATCCTTGGAGCTTTCAAGGATCCTGATGAAAGGAAGAGGAGAAAAATCTAGTGAATGGAGCCCCAGGCCTCTCAGGCCATCTTCAATCAGATAAGTTCTGCTTTCATCTATTTTCTATATTAAGAAAGTATGGAGACAAGAGCAATAGTGGAGAAATTGGGATTAAATATATTTGTATATAAAGCCTGCCTGTAACCATGAAAGCACTTTTCATACTGTCTACAACTAGACTAAGGCCCTCCTGATGGCAAGAGTCACCTTGTATATCTGCATACCCTGCACAATGACTGCAGTGAAGGAGGTACGGAAATGTTTTCTGAGAACATACAGTATCTAAAAAGGAAAATGCCTTGTTTACGATGTACTAAGAAAAGCACTCCTAGCATATATTTAATAGTAGAAGACTGTGAATCCCTAGCTGAGGCTGGGGGTAGGGGAGGCCATGAAGAGAAGTAGCAAGCAAAAGGACTTTTAAAATTTAAGAGGTCTGAGAAACTCAGTTCTAGTTTTATTTTGGTGGGTATAGAATGAACTGGTTCTGATATGAATTTCTATATAAAAATAACGAACATGTGTATACATTTCTACATTAATGCACCATAAAGTTCAGTAATTTAAATCATACAATTCAATGGATTTTAGTATATTTGCAGAGTTGTACAACCATCAATCACCACAATCCAATTCAAGAACATTTTTATCACCCCATCACCCACCCCAAGGTCCTCTCCTCTACTCCCTAGCCTTAAGGAGCCACTGATCTACTTTCTTTTGTATAGATTTGCCTATACTGGACAATTTCATATTTTGGATGTTTTATATAAATGTTATCATACAATATATGCTCTTTTGTGATTAGCTTTTTTCAATTAGCATGTCTCTGAGGTTATAGCAATTATCAATTCTTTATTCTCTTTTAATATGCATCATTCATGTTGTATTGTGGCAAACAGCAAAGTATATAATGCTTTACCTTTGAAACTATTTGCAATATTATTTACTCTAACCTATACAATAACCTCGGGAGCTCTGGTGGTGTAGTGCCTAAGGCATTTGACTGAGAAGGCTGGTGGTTCACACCCACCAGCCACTCCTGTTGTTGTTGTTGTTGTTGTGTGCCATGGAGTGGAGTTGGACCCGTGGAGTGGAGTTGGAACCGACTCATAGTGACCCCTCCTTGGGTTTCCAAGGCAGTATCACTACGGAAGTAGACTGCCCCATCTTCCTTCCTTCCGAGTGGCTGGTGGCTTTGAACTGCCAGCCTTCTGGTTAGCAGTCAAGTGCCTTAAATCCACTTTCATAGTGATACTACCTGGGAAACCAAGGAGGGGTTGCTATGAGTCGGATCCGACTCCACAGCAGTGGGTTTGGTTTTTTTGGTTAATAACCTTACAATGGCAACAGGAGTGATATTATCCCTATTTGATAGGTCAGAAAACTGAGGCTAAGTTAAATAACTTACTTAAGCTAGTAAGCAGAACAGGGAGCAGAGCCCAAGTCCCCCCATGCCTAGTCCAATGTACTTTCTAACACATCAATATGCCTCTTCAGTTGTGTTCCATCATATCACTGATTATTTGCTGATACCACTGCTGCCTGTAATACATAACCAAACAGGAATCTACCGTACTTTTATACAACCCTTTCTTCAAAATGATTCTTTTATTTATTTATTTTTAAAATTGTGATTTGGGTGAAGATTTACAGAGCAAATTCACTTTCTATACAGCAGTCAAAATGATTCTTTTATACAGGGATAATTTTTTGATCATTTCTAATCTTTACATTGATAGAAACATTAAACATAATGTCTAATAAAGTCCTGAGTAATTATATTAAACATACGGCATTTTTTTCTTAGGCATTATCAGCTTCATTCTTACCATGACTCTAAATTTGACTTTAGATAATTTTGATACCAGTCCCTTTGGTGAATCAATAATGTAGAAACTTGGAAATAACCCCAATATTTGATTATGAATATAGAATGTCTAAGTGAAGGACTGAACTGGCTACTCTAAACTTGGCTAAGACACCCTGAAACCTCAAAGATAAATTCTACCTGCAGACCCCATACCCTCCCCTGCCTTGTGAAACCTCAAGGATAAGTTCCACCTGCAGAGCTCTCCCCACCCCCGCCTTGTCATAAACAACCCCACTTCCTGGAAACTGCAACTCGTGCAAAACCCCACTTCCGAACCCAGGCACAGCTCTACTCTGCAACTGGCATTGTTCTTGTTGCTTCTAGAGTTGTCCCTCATGGGCTTTTTCTTCAATAAAGCCTGCTCTGATCTATCCAGGTCGTGGCTGTTTTTTTTTTTCCTTGCTTTCACTTTAACTTCTGTACTTCCTCACTTTCCTAACACTAAGCATCTGGCAAACGTTGGCATGTCAGTTAAAAACTGATGGTTTATGCAACAAATCATACAACTTAGATAAAATAGAAATTTCTTAAAAGATAACAAACTGAAACAGACTCAAGAGAAATGGAAAATCTGAACAGATTGATAAGAAGAGATTGAATTAGTCATTAAAAAACTTGCTAAAAAGAAATTCCAGGCCTAATATTCACAAATATTTAAATGATGAATTATATACCCTCTCCTCACTTATCAACATGGTTAGGTTCCAAAGACCACGTGGCTATTTGAAACTGGAGCTATGTGAAAATGGAGGACAACCTCATCAGATTACAAAATGGAAGACATCTATATCATTATATAATTGCCAGATCGCAACATTACATAAGTGCCAAACCATGGATAATCATGGCCTAGCCAACTTGACACATAACTTTAATCATCATAGCCAGTGTACTCTTGCCTTGCACCTTGGTTTTCATTACTGCCAGACATATGTTGTTAATATGCAAAATAGTAGATTTTTTACTATTATAAGTATGAAATGTTGAGTAACAACAGTTGATAAGTGAGGAACCCAAAACCTACTGCCATCAGCTGATTCCAACTCATAGTGACACTACAGGGCAGAAAAGAACTGCCCCATGGGGTTTCCAAGGCTGTAAATCTTTATGGAAGCAGACTGCTTCATCCTTCTCCCACAGAAAGGCTGGTGAGTTCAACAGCTGACCTTTTCATCGGCCGCTGAATGCCTTAGCCACTGCACCACTAGAACTCCTTGATACGTGAGGAGAAGGTATAATACCATTTTTTTTTAACATACTCTTCCAAAAAAACAGAAGAGGAAGAAACACTGCCCAATTTAATGAGACCAGTATAACCCTGATACCAAAACCACAGACATCAGAAGAAAACTAGATCAATATCTCTAATACAGACACTAAAACCTCTAAAAAGTACTAGCAAACTGAATTGAGCATCTTATAAAACAAACAAATTGTGCTGGGACAACTGGATAGCCACATGTAAAAGAATGACATTGTATCCTTATTTTACACCTAACTCAAACCAACTCAAAACAAATCAAAGATCTAAATGGAAGGGTTAAAACTATAAAACTCAGAAGAAAACACAGGAGTAAATCACCATAACCTTGCATTAGACAAAACCTTCTTAGATACAACACTAAAAGCAAAGCAACAAATAGAATAAAACAAACTCAACTAGATCAAAATTTAAAGCTTTTGTGATGTACATGCCATCAAGAAAGTTAAATGAAAACCTACAGAATAGGAGAAAATATATGCAAATAAAATAGCAGATAAGGGCCTAGAATCCAGAATATACAAAGAACTCATACTACTCAATAATGAAAACACAAATAACCCAAATAAAAATAGGTAAAGGAGATATACAAATAGCCAATAAGCACATGAAAAGATGCTCCACGTTGTTAGTCACCAGGGAAATGCAAACTAAAATCAAGAGTAATCACTTC